TTGTATACATATGTACTCTCACACCAACAGAGCTGTGTGCTATTAACCACGGGGTTATAGTAAGTTAATATCCACATTAACGTATCGAAAATGTGTGTCCATAACATCCGTGTGCCCTCAAGGCCACTATAAAAAAAGACTAAATGTTTGTTTAACCTAAATATGCACTTAATGACCTCATCCCAGCATCTCATATGTGACTTGAATATCTACACAGAGCGAAACATGACTTTCTAATGCTCTTCACAGAGCGAATGACTTGCTAGGCTCTACACAGCGAAACATGACTTCCTAAGGCTTTACAAAGAGCGAACCATGACTTGCTAAAGCTCTACGCAGAGAAACATGACTTGATACAGCTCTACACAAAAACATGATAAAGCTCTACCCAAGGCGAAATGTTGCCGTAATAAGAGCTTCCTCTGCAACTTTATGCCTTTTCTTCCTCCCTGCTCTTCCTCATATACATCAATGACCTTCCAAACGTATCCCAACACCTGAAACCCATTCTCTTTGCTGATGACACAACTTATGTCATCTCTCACCCTAATCTTGCCACCCTCAACACCATTGTGAATGAGGAGCTGATTAAAATATCGACTTGGATGACAGCCAATAAACTTAAGCTTACACTGACAAAACCTACTATATTATGTTTGGTAGCAGAGCAGGAGATGCACAAATTAACATTAAGATTGACAACACTCTAATTACCAGAAATAATGGGGGAAAATTCCTAGGCTTATACCTTGACAACAACCTGAATTTCAGCACCCATATCCAGCATATAGCCAAAAAGTATCAAAACGGTTGGGATCCTTCCAAGTACGATACTACGTGCCGCAAAATGCCTTCTCACACTATACCACTCACTTATTTATCCATACCTCACCTATGCTATTTGGGGCTTGGGGGATCAACTGCAGCAACACACCTAAAGCCAATAATAAACCCCAACAAAAAGCTGCAGTAAGAATAATCACTAAATCCCCTCCCTGGCAAACACCCCCCCCATCTTCATAGATCTAAACTTACTCCAGTCCAGTACATCCACACTTACTACTGTGCAATCTATATCTACAGGGCCTTAAACTCTAATATCAACCTTGACCTAAAACGCTTTCTTGATAGTTGTGACAGGAACCCACAGGCATTAACACCAGACCACAAACTCTCTACGAATTCCCCCTGTCCGACTAAACCTTTACAAAAATTCAATGTTGTCAAAGGCCCTAAAATCTGGAATACCCTACCTGAGAACTCTAGAACTGCAGACACATTTATCCCTTCAAAAACTACCATTAGAAAACATCTTATCTCCCTGAACACCCCGTCAACTAACTACACGAATACCCCTGGTGGTTCACATTACACTCACTCACTCATTTGACCATAAACAGAAATATTAATCTCAGTCTTAAAATAATGAATCCTGTTATACTCCAATACTGAAAAATATGTACTGTGCCAAAACAAAAGCATTCACATTGCTAAACTCACAAACTAGTATTTAGTCACTTAGCCATAATACCAACTTACCTCATAATTTGTAATATTTTACAATTAAGAATAAAACTAAGTATGCCCGAAATGCCTAGCCATGCTAAGCGTTCTAGTGGTACGCTCTGTAATCACAATTTTACTACATGTAAACCAAACAATAACCAAATTTCTGTAAACTCAGCATTGTAATCCTTATAGAGAATAAACTTTGAATTTGAATTTGAATTTGAATTTGAATTCTTCACACTCCTCTCATGTCCCTCCCCCCAACAACACCCCCACTAGGCCCCCTGCACTGGCCCTCAACAGTGACTCCCAGCACTGTGATCCCAGGCACTAACCGCGCCCAAACAACACCACACTTTCATTGATCTTGTTGGAGTGGTGCACTGAAGAGACTCTTCTCTCTCTCTCTCTCTCTCTCTCTCTCTCTCTCTCTCCGGCATCTTCAGGTATTTCCACTGAGGTTTATTGCATCTTTCCTGGTCAAGCTGATCAGTGGTCTCTGGTGCAAAAAAACAAGTGCTTCATACACACTCTTATTATTAATGACATGGGAAGCGCCATATGACTGAAACATAGATGTATGGTGTAAATATTCTAGAAATGTGACGAGCCTAAGAAACTTTATGTTTAGGCTTTGGGTATATAAAATACAATTATTTTTAACAATGGACTTGAGGAACACATGTCATGGGCACATAAAAAGTACAATATGTATGCTTCTTTAATCTAGGATAACATGCAAAATGATGGAAAAGATAATACGAAAGAGACGTTAAATACCTGAAAAATGCAAGATTCACTATTCTTCACGGAATATCTGCATGGATTCTAACGTGAAAGGTTATCAGCTATTAACTTCAGACATGTGATCAATTAACAAGCACCATGCAAGGGAGATAGACAGATGGGTCGACTGTATATTCCTAGAATAGGAAGGCTTTTGATACAGTGACACAGAAGGCTATTCAGCATTTAATGGAGAAGGAAGCTGGGGTATTAAGAAAGAATAAAGGAATACTTGAGCACTAGAAAACAGTCACGGTAATAGAAAAGATGTCAGAATGGTAGAGCGTAGCTAGTGGAGATTCACAGGGATCATTGTTGGGTCCTATACCGTTTTTGGTGCAGTTACATGACCTGGTTAAACGAGTTAATAATAATAATAATAATAATAATAATAATAATAATAATAATAATAATAATAATAATTTTTATAGAGGATTAATTGACGTTATTGGTATGCCGAAAATAAATGGAATGGTGATGCCGACAGAATGTGGAATAAGATACTTATGTCCTGAGTTGTACATAAGTTTATCCACATTATTCAAGACCCTGTTTATGTAGAGCATTTCTGGCAGCCTTAAAAGAAACTTATAACTACTGGATGACTCTTTAAGCAAGTTGGTTTATCAGAATGCTCAAGTTTGCAATCTTTGACATTAACTAACACTTTGGTTTATGATGACATGTTTTTATGGGTAAGGCAATTTGTTACAACGTATTCAGTGGTTATTACATATATTCAAATATAAATACTAATCTATTTGAGTATTACTGTACAGGATATTCAATAATCTGAAGGACCAAAGAATGCATAGTATCTCGGACAAAATAGACTATACTGTACTTAAAATTTACAGTTTTATTTATTTTGTATTTATTAGATAAGGACAAGTGCTTCCTGACGCAGGTTCCTGTTAATACTGTTTTTAACAAGAACCCGCGTCAGAAAACACTTGTTCTTACCTAACCTAAAAAAATAGATAGATAAAGTGGATTCAATAAATGGTTGTAATCATAACTATAATTTTTAAAGGGGTTGACAGGGGTCATATGACCAAAACTCCAACTGTGGATCATCATGTGACTAAGACCCGCGTTAGAAAACACATAGATATAGGTTAAAATTATAAAATATCACAAAAAAAAATTGTTTATTTTAGCAGGGTGAGTAGTATTAATTGTTTAAATTACAATACGAAATATAACGATGTAGTATAATTATGTTCCTGTGAGAATTATTTCTGCAGCTAAGTCTGAAAGAAGGGATTGTTTTCAACTCCCGTACACTTAGAGGCCTAGCTTCTCCCTACGAGTCCCGTGAGGGCGGGGAATGTGGCTAGGCCTGGGGACAGTTGGTCCCAAAGATGAGGGGGTACTTGTACCTCCTCTCATGGGAGACATAAGTCTCGAGACACTCCCCAGATAGGGAGCCGAGGCCGGGTCACCACTACTTGGAAAAGACCCGGGCCGGGAGAATACCGGCGAATAAAAAAAAAAAAAAAAAAAACTCCCGTACATCTTACAATATACGGGAGTTGAAAACACTTGAAATAATGACAGGGTAGGAGTAGATGAAAACAGTAGGTTTCACGATTTTTTTTATCATGGTATATTGCTGTCAAAATCACAATGAAGGTGATTTTTAACAGTGGCTTTGAAGCGGATGGCATATCGGAACTTTGATGCAAAGTTCCTAATTTAAGGCCTTTTGTGCACATTAACTCTTAAAAAAGAATGAATGAAGGCTGCGATAAGATTTGGATAGACTTCAGGAATGGTCGGATAAATGGCTACTAGAATTTAATCTTATAAAAAGAGGCAAACTTATGATGGTGGAAACGGAGTAAGCTAATGGAAGACAGAGTATCATCAGGGTGGAGCGGGACGGGTAGGTAAGTTACAGTAACAGTTCAAGAAAAATATCTTGATATATAACCATTATAATAAGCCTGTCTCCCGAGACACGTATAAACTGAACATCATCAGCACAGGGTAAGCTTGCAAATATGAGAGTGGCTTTTGGGAATCTTAAATACTTATTGAAAACACTTTATACCTTATAATTGCTACTCGTTGTTGAGTATGCAGCGCCTGTATGGTACCCACAGTGGTTTAGAAATATGTGAGCAAATACTAGGAAGTGAGATGGTATGTTCTAGTGCTTCTTCGCGTCTTTTGAAATCCTTTGTAGGTATCAGTTACCAAGGTTGATGATACCAGTACAAAGGAGTACCTGAGATAGGGGAAATAAACTACAAAAAGAAAATAAGAAAACTGGTTCTTATGTTGCCAGAGGAATGAAGAACTGAGAACTATGATCACCATGTATGGAATACTACGTGGTATAGGCAGGGTAGACAAGGCTGAGCTCTTTATCGGATATACAAGATTTAGATTACACGGTTGTAAATTACACACACAGATGAAATTCAAATGTATTGAGAAGTATATCTTCATTGAATAAAGGAGGTGGTAAATGGGTTTTATGAGCTGAGTAACAACACGGGGAAAGCAAACTCTACATGAAGGGCTTAAAATAAATATGGCGAGGATCAGTTATGTTAGCTGGACGGAAGTTTAAGAGACGGGACCAAGGGCTGAGGCTCAACCACTCGCAAACTCAGATAATTACACACACACACGCAATTTTTTGTCATGCAATTTCAGACGCTTAGTTTTTACAACTAATAGTCATATATCCACAGACGTGAGTCCCGCCTGCTGAAGAACCAGACACTGCTGAAGAAGGCGAAGAAAATACTGATGTTGTTCATCCCAGGACAAGCCCTCCTGAGCTGGTGGGTCAACTTATTAAACAGCCTAGTTCAGTAGTTCTCAAACTGGGGTCCGCGGACCCCTTGAGTGGCTCGTGGTTATTTTCATGGGGTGGATAGCAATATTGCTATCCTCGCCAAACCTATGGCGAGAACAGTGAAAAGGCTAATAAACCACTCAAAAAAGGCTGGGAAACATAGGTTTTATTCATAGTAATTTTTATTAGCAAATGTAAGTTTGTTATTCAAACAGGATTTTTACAGTAGCATTCAGTATTGTGCTGCTGCCCATGGTAAATGAAAGACAGGTGCGCAACAAGCCTGTGATAACGTTTTGCTCTACTCTGACAACGTTTCACTGTTATCCTACTGCGTCCAGGTTGAAGACGTCCCTCAGGGTTGTGTTCTCAGCACTATCTTCTTCCTGCTGCTGTGAATAACCTTGCCTCTGTTCTCCCTTCCAATATTTGGTCGTTTATGTCGATGATTTTGTGTCAGCGTTTTGCTCAGTTGTAACAATATTACGATCTACTGTTACAACGTTTCACTCTATTGTGTCATCGTTTCGCTCAGTTGTAACATTGTTTAGATCTGTGACATTTCACTCTGTAGAACGAAACGTGACACATGCTTGCCCTGTTTTTTTCTTAGCTCCTTTCTAACAGAACCTGCCACAGGTGTTTCTAAGTTTCTAAGTAATCACAAATAGGCGTCATACAAGAGCTTTGTTGGTCTAAGAAATTGTTCTAATGTAACTTCTCCAAGAAATGTTTATTATAAGTCAGTCAGAATCACAGTGTTTATTCTAAGCCAGTCAGAACAAGTGTTTATTCTAAGGAAATCAGAATCACAGCGTTTATTCTAAGCCTGTCAGAACAAGTGTTTATTCTAAGCCAATCAGAATCACAGCGTTTATTCTAAGCCAGTCAGAACAAGTGTTTGTTCTAAGCCAATCAGAATCACAGCGTTTATTCTAAGTCAGTCAGAACAAGTGTTTGTTCTAAGCCAATCAGAATCACAGCGTTTATTCTAAGCCTGTCAGAACAAGTGTTTATTCTAAGCCAATCAGAATCACAGCGTTTATTCTAAGCCAGTCAGAACAAGTGTTTATTCTAAGGCAGTCAGAATCACAGCGTTTATTCTAAGCCAGTCAGAACAAGTGTTTATTCTAAGGCAATCAGAATCACAGCGTTTATTCTAAGCCAGTCAGAACAAGTGTTTATTTTAATACAATCAGAATCACAGCGTTTATTCTAAGCCAGTCAGAACAAGTGTTTATTCTAAGGCAATCAGAATCACAGCGTTTATTCTAAACCAATCAGAATCTCAGTATTTATTCTAAGGTAATCAGAATCACAGCGTTTATTCTAAGCCAATCAGAATCTCAGTATTTATTCTAAGGTAATCAGAATCACAGCGTTTATTCTAAGCCAGTCAGAATCTCAGTATTTATTCTAAGCCAGTTAGAATCACAATGTATATTTTTAACAGCATTTAGAACAAACAATATGCTCAGGTTTTACATGAAAATTAATTGTCTATAATTGATGTTGTTTATAACTGATGTTACGTATAATTGATATTATCTGTAACTGATGTTACCTCTAATTAATGTTACTTATAGTTTTTGTGATCTATAACTTCTTATCTATAATTGATGTTATCTGTAACTGATATCTATAATTTGTTATATATAATTGGTGCTATCTATAATTGATGTCATCTTTGTGTTATCTGTAATTGGCGTTATCTATAACTGATATCATCTATAATTGGTGTTATCTATAACTGTGATGTTATCTGCAATTGATGTTATCTCTAATCAGTACAATCTATAATTGGTGCTATCTATAATTGATGCAATTTATAATTTTTCATCTGTAATTGGTGTTACCGAAAATTGATGCAATCCATAATTTGTCATCTATTATTGGTGTTATCTGACTTATGTCATCTATAATTGGTGTTATCTGTAATTGGTGTTATATATAATAAGTGGTGTTATGTTGTTAGTTATATGGGGAATAGTATAAATATTTTTTTCACTGCCTCAATACCGGTGAAGGGCTCTTGATCCGGGGATCCAGCCTTTTATTTAATTGGAACAAATCAGGCTCTGTATAACCCCTACGGGCTTAGCGCTTCCCACAGTTGTGAATATGCAGGAAGCATTTCCCACTTGAGCACCACACTGACACAGTGGAAGACGAAGGCTCCAGCTCTCGGATCTCTAGTTGCTTCGATGTGCTCGGAACCCAGTTCTTATATGAAACTCCTGGAACCCCTTACTCAGGGCCCGGGGGGTTTTGATGCTGCTGGGACAATGGGCTGCTTATTAGGCAGATACTCTTTTCCTATGATCAGCAGCACAACTCTGCTGCCCACCACAGCATGTAATACAAGTGTCAGCCAATGTGAATGCAGGTGTATAGTCCCAAACCTGCAGTCTCCTGTCCTTTTTGGGATATAAAGTGATTCCGTCAGGGTGGCTAGCAGGTGTGTCTGGGTTGTTGGATAATAAGAGATTAAAATTTTTCTCTTGGATTGTCATCCTTCGCAATTTAGGCAGTTCAGAATGTGCATCCTATATAGGTGAAATACAACTTTACTGCTAGTTAGAGACAGCAAGGTGAGCCACTGCAACGTTAAGAATCTGCAGATCAGGAGGTGTACCAATCGTAGAGATATAATTTATTAGAAGAAAGCCACCAAGTGATGTACACATACTGTTAAAAGACGGACTCTTTTTCCAGAGTATGCAGCCTCTGTCATGGTTGCAGAAGTCATTTCTACAATGGGAATGTGTCAGTTGGATTGTCTGTAGAGCATTATTTCAGGTCTCTTGTCTGGGCTTTAGGTTGCGAGAGGATACCACAGACTACTCTGATATTTATAGATGACCTTACGCCATCCCATACCGTCCTATATTATGTTGCAAGCATTTCGAACTCAAGTATATGTAACATATGCGGGGCAACGTCGTACGTGTCGGCTGTGTGGGTCGCATGACCACATAGCGGCACAGTGTGGTAAGCGTAGTGGGAATCTCCAAATATCGCAACAGCAACAACCGGAAGAGGTCGAGGAAGTTGAGGGACGAGAACAGTCTTATGCTCACCCGTCTCGACAACGGACATCTTGGAGTGAAGAGGTAGAAAAAGCGCAGGAGAATGCTTTGGAGGATGCAAAACAGCGAGAAGAATCACCGTCACTGGACATAAATAAAGTATTTGAAGAGACTCTGCCCACTATGGGGGACGAGGATGTAGCGGCGTCTTTAGTGAAGGCACTGGATGTATTGTTAGACGAGTCGATCGTCAACCGTGTGGAGGATCCAGGTGCAAATTTGGGATCGGTTGAGCATCATGGTGAGGCGACGGATGAAAGCATTGAGTCTGGTGTGTCGCATGGTATGATGGTGAATATAGCAGAAGTGGAGGTGCATCATGATAGTACTAAAGAAATCCCAATGCAGGTGGAGGTGGGACGCGAAAGCGAACTGCGACCCCATCAGACTCAGACGACGTGCTTACTCCTGCCCAAAGGCCAGGGAAAAAGTCTTGGGCGGATGTACAGAGGAAAGAGAACAGTGAATCCACGAAACAAGAGTTTATCAAGGTGATTCCCAAAAAAAGGGGAGAGGGATAGAGGTGTAAAATGTATAAGTGAAAAGTCTATACCTAGAACCAAAGGAAAATCCCATTAATTGACTTTAAGGTTTTGACAATAAATATTAACGGTTTGAGATCTGAGCGGAAGCGAAAGTGGTTTAATGAATTTTTGGTGCGTCTAGATGTGGATGTGGTATTTATCCAAGAACACAATTACAGAATTGGATATGAGTTACACAATACACAGTGTGGTTGAAGCACCTGGAGATGTGGCTTTGGTTAATTGGTGGGAAACGATAGCCAAAAAGCGATATGGATATGAGTTAGAAATGGATGGTTACGATGTGTATATGGAATATGCGACGAGGTTAAAAGGAGGCGTCGCCATTCTGGTAAAGGAAAATAGCCCGTTTGTAGTACGCCATAGTGAAAGGGGGGAGGGGAGAGTGATTAGGGTGGATGGGTTATGGGGTAGAGTACATATAAGTTTTGTAGGTGTATATGGGCCGGCCGAGGGAGATGTACGACTTAAAACTCATTTTGTACAAGATGTATTAGTATATTATCTACGTAGTTTACCAAATGTAGCGATAATAGGGGGAGACTGGAATTGTGTAATACGACGAAAAGACGTGGAGCCTCGAGGAGCGGGTTGTTGCTTGGGGTTTTTGGGAGATTTATTGACGAGTGTGGGTTTAATGGATGTGTGGGGGGGGGGTGGCAATGTGGAGCATACTTTCATTAGACGAGATTATGCGGCGAGATTGGATAGAATGTACGTGTCTATGCGGTTACAGTGCGGAGAGTGAGTGTGATAAATGTGTTTTTTTCGGATCATAGAGGTTGAAACTGGATGTAGATATTGCGGGTGTGCCTAGAAGGGGTCCGTCATTTTGGAAATTAAATGTAAAGTTATTGAAGAGAGAGGAAAGTCGTTTGTCTTTTGGGCATCTGTGGGAATGCCTTGTGGTTGAAGCACCTGGAGATGTGGCTTTGGTTAATTGGTGGGAAACGATAGCCAAAAAGCGAATTAAGGAATATTTTATTAGTCAGGAGTGAGATATAATCAGTTACAGTATGGTTTCCAACGATATTTAGAGGGGCAGTTGCGCGACTGCTATGTACAAGCGAATGCTAATTATCCTGTTACAGAAATTGAACGAATTAAGGAGCAACTACGAAATTTACAAAACGAAAGGTTTGATGGGGAAAGGCTTAAGGGTGGAATCGAAGAGGTTTTGTGGGGAGATCGGCCGTCGGCGTGTGTGTTGAGGATCAACACAGACGTCGCAAAACAATGGAGTTAATGGGGTTGAATGTCCAGGTAGGTATGCAGGGGTATAGAGTGAATCAGGTGTTGACGACGACGGAGGGTATGAGTGGGTATATTGATGCTTGGGTTAAATTGAAACG